AGCGCTGCGGGTGAGCGAGCGGACCCGGGTCAAGCTGCGAGTGTACGGGCAGAACATCGACAACGAGACGTGGTCCAAGATCGCCTTCACCGAGCACCCGCCGCCTTGGGACGGGGAGCAGGACTCGCCCTCCGAGAGCTTCCACCCGTGCGGCATCCGCACCTCCGACATCCTGGTCCAGCCGCACATCGAGGTGAGCCGCAGCAGCTCCGGCATCATCCAGATCGTCATCAAGCCGCTGCGCAAGACGGAGAAGAGCAAGGCGTACTACCTGTGCACGTCCGTGTCCTCCCCGCCGCCCAGCCCCGGCGGAGCCGCCCACTCGCAGCCCTGGACTGAGACCACCTGGGTGTACCATGTCGGGGATGACACCCGGGTGATCGTGGTGGAGGAGAAGAAGTTCCTGCTCCCCTTCTGGCTGCAGGTCATCTTCATCGCGCTCCTCCTCTGCTTGTCCGGCATGTTCAGTGGGCTTAACCTGGGCCTCATGGCGCTGGACCCCATGGAGCTCCGCATCGTGCAGAACTGTGGAACCGACAAGGAGAAGAACTACGCCAAGCGCATCGAGCCTGTCCGCCGCCAGGGTAACTACCTGCTGTGCTCCCTGCTGCTGGGCAACGTGCTGGTCAACACTACCCTGACCATCCTGCTGGACGACATCGCCGGCTCGGGGCTGGTGGCCGTGGTCATTTCCACCATCGGCATTGTCATCTTCGGTGAGATCGTGCCGCAGGCCATCTGCTCCCGCCACGGTTTGGCCGTCGGCGCCAACACCATCTTCCTGACTAAGTTCTTCATGATGATGACCTTTCCGGCCTCCTACCCCGTCAGCAAGCTGCTGGATTGCGTGCTCGGCCAGGAGATCGGCACCGTCTACAACCGGGAGAAACTGCTGGAGATGCTGCGGGTCACCGACCCCTACAATGACCTGGTCAAGGAGGAGCTGAACATCATCCAGGGGGCCCTGGAGCTGCGCACCAAGACGGTGGAAGACGTGATGACCCCGCTGCGGGACTGCTTCATGATGGCCGGTGACGCCATGCTGGACTTCAACTCCATGTCCGAGATCATGGAGAGCGGCTACACCCGCATCCCCATCCACGAGGGCGACCGCTCCAACATCGTTGACCTGCTCTTTGTCAAGGACCTGGCCTTTGTCGACCCCGACGACTGCACGCCGCTCAAGACCATCACCAAGTTCTACAACCACCCCCTGCATTTTGTCTTCAACGACACCAAGTTGGATGCCATGCTGGAAGAGTTCAAAAAAGGTGAGCGTGCAGTGCTTAGGTTGCTGCTGCAGGGGCAGGGGGGACAGAGTCAGCTTTGCGGTGCTGCTGTGGCCCTTGTGGGAAGGGTCTTCCCCACCAAGAGCTGCAGTGCCTGCTAGAAGTGGAGCGCAGTACACTCACTTGCAGCGACCTTGTTAGTTAGTGACCCATATTATTACAATCGCCTTAAGCAGCATGCCATAGGAGTTTGCATTACTAATGAGGCGCAACGCAGCCTGGGGGTTTGAGCAGCCGGCTTTAGAAGGTTTACTTGGCATTCTTGACATTTGCTAAGGAGATGGAAGTGTCCAGCAGCGCACTGCTAGCCTGTGAGCCCTGGATGAGCTGATCTGCTTGTCAGGATTCAGCGCTGTCCAGCACTTGCTCTATAGTCTTCAGGAATGAAGAGCTCAGCTTCAGCACTATCTGGCGGCCGAGGAGCTCTGGGCTCTCTAGTTGCAGGGATAGATCAGTGGGGTGATCACACTCATGGTGGGGTTGTGGTGTGACTGCTGTGTGTGGCAGTCTTTGGTTTTCTCACCGAGTCTAGGAATTCAAAGCAGAACTCTTGTACTCTACTAGATTTGCTGACAAGTAGGCTTCGATGCAGATGAGACTCTGTATGTTTCTTCTGCCTGCCAGCCCTTTTTTTCCTATGGGCCTATTCGCTTTACTCTGCTACTGTGCCTGTTAATGCCGTTCCTATTAACGCACGCATGTTGTGTCAAACAATTGCATTAAGGCAGTCCATTCATTTTATGGGTTGCCAATGAACAGGAATGGCCCAGAAAAGGACATGCAGCATTTGTTCCAACGCAACGTGCCAGAAAATGCAGCAGTGTTTTCTTGCATTTGGTATGCTGCATTGCACTGCTTGTGTGGTGCATTGAGTTGAATGAAATGTCCTTATGTGATATTTTCAATAAAGCTTGAAAAAAGAAATGGACGGGATAGATCAAAGAAAGGGCATGCATTTCTTTCCCAACACAACGTACCACAATGCTCATTAATATGTTACCTTGCCTTGTATGCTGCAATGCATGCGATAGGAGCTGCGTTGTCTGTGTGTCAGGATGCCTTTCACAATGATCTCTGATAGCTTTACCAGGTCTCCGGTTCCACGTCTTCAGGGCTGACTGAAAAGTGAAACACACCTTTTAGGTGAGTTAGTGGGCGAGTTAGCCAATCTCAAAGGTGTGTTTTCAGCCCTAAAGACCCGGAAGGTGTTCGTGCCGACATGGGAGCTTCAAAAGTGGAGGAGAGGCAAGTCTTGTAGAAACCTAAAGTGTATGTGTAGCCAAAACTTTTTTCTTTATTTTTGGACAGAGTAGGGAAAGGGGATCTACTCAGTCATGTTTGTGTTGCTTTATGTTTGGTAGGGAAGGAGTAGATCCCCTGTCATGTTTGTGTTGCTTTATGTTTGGTAGGGAAGGAGTAGATCCCCTGTCATGTTTGTGTTGCTTTATGTTTGGTAGGGAAGGAGTAGATCCCCTGTCATGTTTGTGTTGCTTTTATTCTTGGGCAGAGTAGGGAAGGAGTAGATCCCCTGTCATGTTTATGTTGCTTTATTCTTGGACAGAGTAGGGAAGGAGTAGATCCCCTGTCATGTTTTGTGTTGCTTTTATTCTTGGACGGAGTAGGGAAGGAGTAGATCCCCTGTCATGTTTTGTGTTGCTTTATTCTTGGACGGAGTAGGGAAGGAGTAGATCCCCTGTCATGTTTGTGTTGCTTTATTCTTGGACAGAGTAGGGAAGGAGTAGATCCCCTGTCATGTTTGTGTTGCTTTATTCTTGGACAGAGTAGGGAAGGAGAGATCCCCTGTCATGTTTGTGTTGCTTTATTCTTGGACAGAGTAGGGAAGGAGTAGATCCCCTGTCATGTTTGTGTTGCTTTATTCTTGGACAGAGTAGGGAAGGAGAGATCCCCTGTCATGTTTGTGTTGCTTTATTCTTGGACAGAGTAGGGAAGGAGTAGATCCCCTGTCATGTTTGTGTTGCTTTATTCTTGGACAGAGTAGGGAAGGAGAGATCCCCTGTCATGTTTGTGTTGCTTTATTCTTGGACAGAGTAGGGAAGGAGAGATCCCCTGTCATGTTTGTGTTGCTTTATTCTTGGACAGAGTAGGGAAGGAGTAGATCCCCTGTCATGTTTGTGTTGCTTTATTCTTGGACAGAGTAGGGAAGGAGTAGATCCCCTGTCATGTTTGTGTTGCTTTATTCTTGGACAGAGTAGGGAAGGAGTAGATCCCCTGTCATGTTTGTGTTGCTTTATTCTTGGACAGAGTAGGGAAGGAGTAGATCCCCTGTCATGTTTGTGTTGCTTTATTCTTGGACAGAGTAGGGAAGGAGAGATCCCCTGTCATGTTTGTGTTGCTTTATTCTTGGACAGAGTAGGGAAGGAGTAGATCCCCTGTCATGTTTGTGTTGCTTTATTCTTGGACAGAGTAGGGAAGGAGTAGATCCCCTGTCATGTTTGTGTTGCTTTATTCTTGGACAGAGTAGGGAAGGAGTAGATCCCCTGTCATGTTTGTGTTGCTTTATTCTTGGACAGAGTAGGGAAGGAGTAGATCCCCTGTCATGTTTGTGTTGCTTTATTCTTGGACAGAGTAGGGAAGGAGTAGATCCCCTGTCATGTTTGTGTTGCTTTATTCTTGGACAGAGTAGGGAAGGAGTAGATCCCCTGTCATGTTTGTGTTGCTTTATTCTTGGACAGAGTAGGGAAGGAGTAGATCCCCTGTCATGTTTGTGTTGCTTTATTCTTGGACAGAGTAGGGAAGGAGTAGATCCCCTGTCATGTTTGTGTTGCTTTATTCTTGGACAGAGTAGGGAAGGAGTAGATCCCCTGTCATGTTTGTGTTGCTTTATTCTTGGACAGAGTAGGGAAGGAGTAGATCCCCTGTCATGTTTGTGTTGCTTTATTCTTGGACAGAGTAGGGAAGGAGTAGATCCCCTGTCATGTTTGTGTTGCTTTATTCTTGGACAGAGTAGGGAAGGAGTAGATCCCCTGTCATGTTTGTGTTGCTTTATTCTTGAACAGAGTAGGGAAGGAGTAGATCCCCTGTCATGTTTGTGTTTCTGGCTGTCCCCTGATCTAGATACTCACTCTAATTTGTCCTGGTGACAATTGCCACTGAGACAAAATGTGATGTGAACACATCACATTTTGCAAGGGGCACATAGTTGTTCTCCGTGTACCTTGTTCACACCATGCATGTGCAGTGGTGTATGCGGTGTAAAAATGCAGCATCTTTGCGCACTGCGCTACATGTCAGTGCAGCACATCACAGCGTGCTGTGGTGCATACCGTTGAATGAAATGTCATTATGTGATATTACATTAAAGCTAAAAAGAAAGAAAAGGGTAAACAGTGTACAGTGTATCGATTTGCATCACATCTCCTTTCACAGTGCACACCAGCTTAGCTTGCACATGCATAACGTGTGGCCTGGCTTGAATGAGCCCTAACGAGTCATGTACTGCTCTGGCAGCATTGGTGTCTGTGTGCTGCATGTAAAGCTTTTCCTAAAGCGAGATTCCTTAGTGGATAATACTGCAAATCTGAGAGCATAATACAAGTATGAACTATATAGCGGCCTTTGTATGAAAGTGTGCTAATGAGAACATTTGTTGTTACACATGGCAACCAATTAGATTCCTTGTTTCATTTTAGGGCCCATTTAATCTAAGCGTTGTGTTAACACCTGTTTTTCCCGCATTGGGGTTTGCTACTTTAAAGACATAGCATTTATTTTTAATGACGTGGCAGCACACCTCAAAAAAAGTTATTATTTCTTAGGGGTCCCCCCCCCCCCCC